TCATAAATCATTCTGTTAGATTTGTAATTAACACCTCAGATTATCCAACTGTAGCAAATCAAAATTTTCCAGGCCACCAGCAAAGGCTTGCTAAAGGCAATAGAATTGTGTACTCATTCTCCTTATTTACTGAGAATTTGTCTGTTGTGACAAATCTGAACTACAAAGAAACTTAATGTTGCCTCATGAAAATAGCTGTGGAATCTGGCATGAGGAAAATACCAGAGCAAATGGGTGTGATGAGTCATTTCCCATTTCTTTCTGACCTTAAGTTCATTCAGTTCACTGATGTTTTTAGTTTTTCCCTCAGTCACTATTTCTGTTTGTCAATTTATACTCAGAGGTAATCAGGGACATGTTGGGATTTGCTCAACTGTAACACAGTTGCATTGCATATGTTTATTTGTATGCGTAGCATATACAACTTCAGCTCATATACATATTTTTCTTGGTCTGTTCTTGCTTTGGACATAGGCTTTCCCTTTACTCTGGAAATTATGATTATTGTATCCATTCCTATTCTGCAAATTGTATCTACCAAAATTAATGGCTGAATTAATTTTTCAAGTAGGAAAATATCACTGAACATGGTAAACTTGTGTTTTTTTTATTGAATAATCAAAATTTGAGACCAATTGTACCTACCAAAGGTACAATATAATATTAGATTTTGTGTTCTTCAAATTTAAATAATGTATTCTAAAATAGTTAATGTATTTGAAGGATTGTTTTCTGACGTAACATTTTTTCAGCAGTTTTTGTGTTTTTAATTATAATTGTCAATTTTACCCAAAATAAAATAATTATTTTGTATATTTTTTTAGGAATTAGTGTGGAGTAAGAGGTTTTTTTTCTATGCCAACTAGACATTAATAATCTGCATTTGAAGATGTACTTGTATTTTTATATAGCAGAGAGAAATGTATACAGTAGATACTAGATTTCTATGTATGAATAATTACATGGAAAGCACTAAAATATGAAAGTAACAACTTGTCTCATTGTCTTTAAAATTAACATAATTCATTACTGTTAAGTAAAGTACTGTTTTTTCTTCAGAAAAATAAAGTACATTAATTTTTTAAAAATGTTTCATTCCACATTATTGTCTCTTTGAAAAGATATTTTATCTTGGAAATACGTTTTTTACTTGAATCATTTTACAATAAATAATTCCTTCATTATTATTGTCCACAAGAATTTTCCAGAGTTAGGGAGTTCCTGTGTAGGATGTGAAAATTCATTCTTTTCAGTCTGCTTTTTTCTTTTCACTATGTTGCATAGAGAAATACGATAAAATTTTGCAGTTGTTTCTTTTTCATGTGTTGAATAACTTTATATCATTTATCAAGAAAGGGACCACATGTTTAATTAGGGTCATGATATGTTTTAGAGTAGGGCTTCCCAACCTCTAGTCCATGGACCAGCACCAGGTTGCGGCATGCCAGAAACCGGACCACACAAACAAGCAATGCCCCATCTGTGGGATGCAGGCAGCACACAAAACCACATGCATTCCAGTCCACAGCACCAGTCCCTGGCGCCCATAAAGTTGGGGGCTGCTGTTTTAGAGTGCTGTTTTATATGCAGTTAGATCATACCCACTCACTTTATGTCAGTATTGGTATATAGACAGAGTTGCTTCCCGTAGTTTCAAACTGGATTCTTTCCCAGTTGAAGAAGACAGGAATGAAACCTGAAGCCTTGGCATTCAAAGCAGAAAGAAATTCATCATACCAAGGGACGAAACGGCAATCGTGGACAATTCTATAGATTTACTCTGTCCTATATCATTTTGTGCTACCCTGACCTCTAGGTACAAGGCATGGCAGGGCTGTGGAGCATTGGGTGGCAGGGGAAAATGGGATTTTATGCTGTGATATGAGGCTTGTAGCGGTATTTCTCAGTGGCAGTATGGGGATGAAGTAGAGACCTAGGGGCAGGGGCAGCTAGCTGACTCAACTTCAGCCCCAACCCTACTAAGGAGTGCTGCTGTGCAGAATGGCTAAAAGGACACAGATAAAGGGAAGATAGAGGGAGGAATTGAGGTCCCTGTGTGGTCATTAATGCAGGGAGGTTGCCAAAGGCCCAAATTTTGATCATGTATTGCAGTGGCTGCAATTTCGGAGATCAGTTGTAAATCCCTTCATTCAGCACTGCTGCAACTTAAACAGCCGTTAAATGAATAGTCATAGGTCAAGGATTATCTGTGTGCAATTACTGGATTACCTTGAAGGCCTGGTATAATGTATAATCTCTCTGCAGTTCTGGACATTGTAAAATGTTTACCCCCCACAATCATGTAACTACATTTTGAGGACATAGCAAATGGGTCACCCTTATAACCACAATTTGTGACTTTTTTTATCTACTTTTTTGTCAGTTTCCAGCAAAAACCCAATTTGAAAGAATGGGTTTACTTAGCTATGCTGTTTGATTAACAATCACATGATTCACTTAATGACTGTGGTAGCCACTGAGATCCTATGGATAGTGCTAGATGCTAGCAGCAAACTGCAGCCTTTAGCTATGGGGCCTCTTTTGTTACTGCATGATCTCATCTTCTATCTGTTGGATTGGAAAGTCCCAGACCTTCCAGGCTTATAGGTGATCTCATTTACTAACATCACCACTAGTCTTAAGGATTGGTTGGGAGGATGTATCAATGTACTTGGGGGGTTTCACCCATGTGGGATCTATTCTCCAATCCAGATGCTGCCTTCGTCTTGTAAAAACCCTATAAATGTAATAAACACTGCCCATGCAGTCAGACATCTTGGCACCCTGCACAATGTCTGGTCTTTGAAACCCATCAAATGACCACAATGATTTTCTGAACAGCCACCTTGAAAAATGTCAAAAAAATGCAGTCACTTGGATTCTTTGATTTTATGACTACAACAACTTACAACCGGATTTCAAAAGGCCAGCAGATTGGGGTCATCGTCAGTGGTATTCAGCCGGTTCACATCGGTTCAAGTGAACCGGTAGCAAGGATTTGGCATGGGTTGTCGAACCGGTAGTAAGTTCTGGCTGGCCATGCCCCTGATCCGGTCGCCCGGTCGCTGTTGACTCGCTTGCCCCACCCGCCTGATGCTCACCCCTTAAGGTATTTCTTTTTTCCCCCTCCCAACAATCAGCTGTTCATACGATCAGCTGTGCCAGGATTCCCCTAGCTGTCTTACTGCTTCGCCCAGGAGGATTCCCTGAGGCCCAGGAAGGCAAAAAATGGAGGGAGGGGTGCAGTCCAGGGGAGCCTTCTGGGAGCAAAAACACCGCCCCCAAGAGGCTTGCCTGAGGCCCAGAAGGCCCCCCAAAAATGGGGTGTGTGTATGTGCAAAAAAGCTAAAAAAGCCACGCCCACCCAGTCACATAGCCATGCCCACCAAGCCACGCCCACAGAACCAGTAGTAAAAAGTTTTGAATCCCACCACTGGTCATCGTCAGTTCTCAAGAGAGAATGTTTTAGAGGCCAAGGGCTATGGCAGAGAAGACATGTCTCTGCCAGCCAACTTTCCTTGACTGGCAGACTTGTTGCTTCTAGAAAGACAAGAAGTTAATTCTTTTGAGTTTGCACCTACTGTAGATTAAGAATATTTACATAATTATTTGCTTTGAGTTCTAAGAATAAATTTGTGTACATTTCAGTAACTGAACTGATCCAAACAGTAGCATATTTGTCTGGTAACCAAACATGCCATAGTTAATTTTTTGTTTGTTCTGTTTCATGTTTTCTTTTGAGATTAGATAAATGGAAACAAGGTTGTCTTATACATATTTATGATAGAATGAAAGGAATAAAAAACATTTTCTATTTTCTGTTAAGGTTGAATTTTCCAGCAAAATTGGGGCTTGCGTAGCACTACTCTTACTCGTTTTAGAGACTGGATTTTCATCTTACAATTGCATCATTTGTAGTATCTAATACTTGCAAACCACTGATTGAATATACTGGTTTGATTTCCCTAAAATTGTATATAACTTATGCTGTGGAAATTAAATAAATCAATATGTCAAAAAACTTTTGAAATAGAATTTTCAGTAATAAGAAAGCATGAATTGATTCCAGTCTGTTGCAAAATAGAAGTGTGTTTTTGACTAATTGTTGAAGTCTATATACAGTTTTAATATGAGTAATGAATGATCAAATTGTTCATCCTAGAATAAATCAAATAGTATAGTTAAAATCATACCTTTTAACTTTGAAATGATATACGCCGTAGTTTAGAGCTTCAAAAAAATGGTATAGTGATACATCAGCATTTTTACTAAAATGTAGTGAATTTTTAAGAAATGGTAAATGCATTGTTAGATCTTATTTTATTCGACATCTGTTATTCTTTCATTAACATCCTTTAGACATAGTCCTTCCACGAAATAGACACCATTACTGACAAAGTTGATATTGTGATTAATAATTTATGGCTCCATTCTTTAATATTTCCAATGTTTTAATATTTTGTGTCATTTTGTAATTTCCAGTATTAACTGCAATAAAATTCAAACTGAAAACGACCCACAATAAATGCCTTTTAGACTTCACTGCTAGTAGAATTCTATGCATGTCTACTTGGAAATGAGTCCCACTGAATTCAGTAAACATTTTTCCTAGTAAGGATGATGATCCAGGTGGAAGAATGAAATATGTTACATAAACAGTATTTGAGAAAATGCATATAGTTAACAGCTTCTAATTATATTTGTAGGGAGTAAAAAACTGATGCATCTAATGACACATATTTGATATTAATCTTTTAAAATGTGAAATACACAGTTACATGTGTATGCTTGGTTAGCTACTTTCTGCATTTTATTATCAACTGTCATTACCTATGCATCATGCAGCATATTTTTTGCATTTTTACCAAAATGATTCAATAACTCAAAATTGAGTTTTTGATACTGTATTTTATCTAGATGCCTATTTTAATTGATTGGAATTACTAAAAAGTCATATGTTTAAAAAATATTCTAAGCAAAAAAAAAATTGTATTTTTTAGGGCAACAAGTGATAATGACGACTGAAGGTGGTTCAGATAGTGAAGTAAAAGAATCAGAGAATCTGAGGACTAACACAGGAAGTGAAAATGCTGGGGATGCACCAGAAAGTCAAGAAGATCAGAAACAAATAGAACACGGTTCTCCTGTCCTTCCAACTGCAGCTACCCAAAAGAGCCCTAAAAGCTCAGGTGGAAAGGGCATTTCTCGTTTTATCCCCCCCTGGCTTAAGAAACAAAAATCATACAGCATATCAGAACCCAAAGATGAAACTAAGAAAAGAGAGCATCTAGCATCAGAAGAAGAGACAGCAGTGGACGAAGGAGAATGTCATCTTTCAGAAGAAGCTCAATCTAAAGGAAAATTAGAGGACATTTCTGAGAATCTCCAAGAAGCTGAAGTGGGTGGTGATAAAGAAGAAAAACACGTTGAGTCACAGGTACATCCTAGACAGCAAAACAAAACAAACTTTAGGAATCACACTTTAGTGGCCTTGTATTGTTGTGGCTACTGTTATGTTACATTTTCTTTTGTTAATATAAATTAATACCATTCATTCTGAGGAGTATTTTGATTTGGTAGTGAATCATACTGTTCATTTCTGCCTAACCAAATATTATAATTTTGTTACTTCAGATTCAGCAAAATCTAGCTATTGAAATTTACCTAATTTTTATAAACTAGAATAGAGGTTTTTCTTGTTTGCTGATGATTAAATAAGAAACTTGGGAATTGTAATGGCTCAGCGATTAAAGACACCTGAGTGCCTTGTTCCATGTACCTTCGGCATATAGTCATGCTGGCCACATGACCCTGGAAATGTCTTCAGACAATGCTGGCTCCCTTGGCTAGGAAACAGAGATGAGCACTGCCCCCTAAAGTCAGACATGACTGGACAGGGGAAAGCTTTACCTTTAAATAAGAAACAGTAAGACAAGTAATACTGTGTAATGTTGTGGGTCGTTGGGTAGGTTGATGACAGGTCTCCATTGGTTTATGAAGGCTAGTCTGAAAAAGGTCTGTCCTGAAATCCAAGGATTTTGGCATGGAGTGTTTGCAGTATGAGGCGTGCAAAAATCCTGCTTGGATTTCAGAATAGCTCTTTTCCAGCCAACCCCAAGACAAATGGACTCCTTCTTGTTTCTAGCAGCTGGCTGTAAATGCCTCATGCTGCAGATGTTCTTTGCCAAAATTCTCCTTGAATTTTGGGATGGATTTTTTTCAACCATTCCCTAGAAATCAGAGGCAATCCATGCTTCTTATCTGAGAACGTTTCTGCTTAAAAACCCTCAAAATTGCTTAATAACTGCAATTCAATATGCTGAGATTTTGGGCACTGAGTGAAGTAGTCATGTGACATCCTGCTTAATTACTGCTTCTTTCAATGACCAAGATTCCAGTTGTGGCAGTTAAGTGAAAACTACCTGTGTTGCCATCAAGTTGGTGTCACTCTTAGAGACCATGTAGGTAAATTTTCTCCAGGATTTGGTTCGGTAAGTAAAATGCTTTTCAGGGTTTTTTCCCCCAAACGTAACTTTGGGTACATCTTTAAATTTCAAACCCTAACCCTAACCCTAACCCAAACCCAATGAAGTTCATTTCATTTTTCAAATACTATGTTTAACTATGAAAATTTTCAGAAAATCCTCTTCTATAATCAGCACTGTAAAACAGGAAAATAAGGGTTTGGAGTTCAGTATAGCTACTCCCCTATCAGTTTCTTTCTCGTAATGTATTAATATGATTCGGTTTTCCACAACCTTTAATCTGCAAGCCAATTACAACAATGAAAAACATATTCAGGTTGCATCATCCTTGCTTTTTCTCCGTGTAATTCTTTTTGCTCAGCCCTCCCCCTCCCTCCAAAGCCAATTTTGCCCAGTTCAGGTCTTCCTAATTTATATAATTTATTTTTCAAACATATGAAAACAGATGTTAAGTAACTTGCTTAGATGATGCAATATGTACGATAAGCAGAAACATTTGTGGCTCCCTTTATTGTAAAGTCTTTTGCATTCATAGCCTATTTGTGACTGCTTGGAAGCCTGCAGGTACTTGCTGCTTGAAGCAGAATAGACTAGCTGTATAGATAAGGTTTTTTTATTCTTAAAGAAGGAGCTGTATTTACTTGTTTGCATGGAGTATTCAATGATTAGGATTCTGACAAAGATATAGAAATGATGAGGAAAGACAAAATGAAACTAGACTTGTAACTAGATATTATTTTCAAATGAACAAACTTAATTGTGTGTTTCCAGTTGTAATACCTTTGCTTCTGTTTGCCCTCCAACAAAAGAAATAATTTTTTTTCTAATAGTTGGGTAAGCTAAGGTCTCAAAATAGCAGGCTAACTAAGTGTCCTAGAGATTTGTTCTCTTAAGATTGGTAGTCTAAAGGGACAGTTGCTAGGTTGAACATGTATATGAACCAGTATATGAACATAGAAAGTTACATACTTGTCTCAAGCCACAGTAGCCCTGTTTTCAGTTGAAGCTGTTTCAGAGTTCTCAATCTGGACTGTATGTGCACTAGTGAGACACATTTGCATTTCAGAATATCTAGACCTAACTGAGCTCTAGAAAGAAGTCACAGCACCATTTTGTCAAGATATCTTTAGGTTCTTTGTGGCCAGTGTCCTCTACTTTCATGCAGTAGAATCTCAGAATATCTGTCCTGATTCTATCTATATATTTTTTTACTTGCCTGAAGTATGAAAAAAATTGTTTTATCATTAGTGAAGCATGCTTGATGCCTCCTGCAAGTTTTTTCTATAGACAATTTGTATTTTCTCTGAGCAAAATGATAGAGGAAACAGATATATGTATATCTTAATGATTAACTGCTATTGTAATTTGAAATATGCATGTATGCATTTGATTAAATTTAAATTCTGTAACTATAATATTACTGTATGGTAATATACATTTCCTTGCACAGTCTGATAAAGAAGACAAAGAAATTATTTCTGAAGCTACAGAAAACACTGAAGATCGGAAAAGAGAGACAAAAGAGGTGCAAACAAGTGAAGTCAAAGTAGAAAGAGTGCTTCAAAAAACTCCTAAGAAGATCAGGATAGTACAGGCTAAAGTTGTGCTTTTGGATGGCACAGAATACAGTTGTGACCTTGAGGTAAGCTAGTGAGTTTTATTTATTTTTTTCTCTAAGAGGGAGTAAATGTAATACTCTTGTAGAAATGCGGACTAAACCATGTAATGTGTTATATGTTAATAATATACAGCATCCCAATGCAAAGTAGATTTATACACTGCTCAAAAAATAAACACAAAAATAAGACATCCTAAATCTGAATGAATGAAATATTCTTATTAAATACTTTGTTCATTACATAGTTGAATGTGCTGACAACAAACTGACACAAAAATTATCAATGGAAATCAAATTTAGCAATCCATGGAGGTCTGGATTTGGAGTTACACTCAAAATTAAAGTGGAAAAAAACACTACAGGCTGATCCAACTTTGACGTAATGTCCTTAAAACAAGTCAAAATGAGGCTCAGTAGTGTGTGTGGCCTCCACGTGCCTGTATGACCTCCCTACAACTCCTGGGCATGCTCCTGATGAGGTGGCGGATGGTCTCCTGAGGGATCTCCTCCCACACCTGGACTAAAGCATCCCCCAACTCCTGGACAGTGTGTGGTGCAACGTGGTGTTGGTGAATGGAGCGAGACATGATGTCCCAGATGTGCTCAATTGGATTCAGGTCTGGGGAACGGGCGGAGCAGTCCATCGCATCAATGCCTTCGTCTTGCAGGAACTGCTGACACACTCCAGCCACATGAGGTCTAGCATTGTCTTGCATTAGGAGGGCCAACCGCACCAACATATGGTCTCACAAGGGGTCTGAGGATCTCATCTCGGTACCTAATGGCAGTCAGGCTACCTCTGGCGAGCACATAGAGGGCTGTGTGGCCCCCTAAAGAAATGCCACCCCACACCATTACTGACCCACTGCCAAACCGGTCATGCTAGAGGATGTTGCATGCAGCAGAACGTTCTCCACAGTGTTTCCAGACCCTGTCACATCTGTCACATGTGCTCAGTGTGAACCTGCTTTCATCTGTGAAGAGCACAGGGCGCCAGTGGCGAATTTGCCAATCTTGGTGTTCTCTGGCAAATGCCAAACGTCCTGCACGGTGTTGGGCTGTAAGCACAACCCCCACCTGTGGAAGTCAGGCCCTCATACCACCCTCATGGAGTCTGTTTTTGACCATTTGAGCAGACACATGCACAACTGTGGCCCACTGGAGGTCATTTTGCAGGGCTCTGGCAGTGCTCCTCCTGTCCCTCCTTGCACAAAGGTGGAGGTAGAAGTCCTGATGCTGGGTTGTTGCCCTCCTCCAGCCTCCTCCATGTCTCCTGATGTACTGGCCTGTCTCCTGGTAGCACCTCCATGCTCTGGACACTACGCTGACAGACATAGCAAACCTTCTTGCCACAGCTCGCATTGATGTGCCATCCTGGATGAGCTGCACTACCTGAGCCACTTGTGTGGGGTGTAGACTCCGTCTCATGCTACCACTAGAGTGAAAGCACCGCCAGCATTCAAAAGTGAACAAACCATCAGCCAGAAAGCATAGGAACTGAGAAGTGGTCTTTGGTCACCACCTGCAGAACCACTCCTTTATTGGGGATGTCTTGCTAACTGCCTATGTTTTCCACCTGTTGTCTATTCCATTTGCACAACAGCATGTGAAATTGATTGTCAATCAGTGTTGCTATCTAAGTGGACAGTTTGATTTCACAGAAGTGTGATTGACTTGGAGTTACATTGTGTTGTTTAAGTGTTCCCTTTATTTTTTTTGAGCAGTGTATAAAATATAAGTACACAGATTTGTATAAAATCATTTCAGTGTTGGGATTTTAATTTTCTGTGTTTTTCCTAATGATCCACAGCATGGGATTTTTCTTTTTAATAGTTGTCAACAATGTTAATTTAACCATCTACTAAAACACCCAAAAGCATTTTTACTGGTACTTACAAACAGTTCAGTCCTCATGTATGAATTTAGGGTTTTTGCCCTACTGTGCATCACTTTGTTTACTTAAACTGTACTTGTCATTTGGTAAACATTTACCAAATTAAAAAAACCAAATCCTTTAGGATTTTCTTCACAGTCACTTGGTTCTTATGATTCCAGACTGCTTAATATTATCCAGAAGTCAGTATCATTTAAGCCATGATAAATACCCCATTTGTCATTTATTCATAAGCCAACATCTTCAAAATCATTGGCTCCAAGAATCTTCTTATGTTCCCATTTAGTCACTTTTGTATTTTTATCCAGTTAGCAATCCATAAAAAGCATTTCTTCTAATCCTACGATCACTAAGTTTCAGAACCATTAATGAAGAACTTTGTTAAAAATGTTTTGAAAATCCAAGTATAGAGTAACAGCAAGGTCATCTCCATCAGGTCCTATTGTTTTCGTAGAAAACTCTGAAAGATTGGTGAATTAGAATTTGTTTATGCTGATTTTTCTTCAACAAAGCTTATTTTTCTATGAACCTATTTATTTTTTATTTGATTACCACTTCTGTCAAGTGGCATAAAGCAGATGTTAAAGTGGCAGGGCTTTCCAGATCTTGCTAGGTATCTTTAAAACCTGGTATTATACCGCTGCCTTCAATTTCTTTGCAAGTGAACCGGTTTGAATGTTAAACTATATACTTTGGGGAAAGATTAACAATTATCTTTGAAATTCAAATGTTTATTATATTGTACAACTGATTAATAATCAGTTCTTTCATTTGAGTTTGACATGCATTTTAGTAAAAGATGCTCATATGTAATGTATAAAACAGCTTTTTAGACATAGGGTAGGTATGTACCTGAATTTATTAATTTATTAAAATCAGAATAAAGGTTTATAATGAATGTTTGTTCATCATTTTAGACAATCTTTTCTCTAAAAGATTGCTAATCTGTACTTAGTTCCTTCTGCCTTTCCTTCCCTAGTACATATATACAGAACATTTGCTTTTTCTCAACTCACCTACTAATATGAATTTCCTGTCCCCAAGTTGTAAAGAAATCTCTTTTCTGCTATACTTATAAAACCTGCTTCACTAATCATCAGTCAAGTCATATTCTTTGTGTTGGGAACATTCACATGTCCAACTTCAAATACTAAAATTGTTGTACATATTAAATCAGCATTTTTTTTCTGCCACAGAACCATCTATGGAACCACAGTGAGGAGTATTAATGCTTTTTGGCAGATAAAGTCACTTGGAGTTGGAATTTGACTTGGCAGTCCAAGCCACAAGTTGAGTTGCCCATAGCACAAATTTGTAAAGTCATCTGGACTGAATTCAATTTTGTAACACTGAGCACATGGATAAGGTTCTTTAATCTGCTAGTTCAACCACATGATTGTTAAATTCTGGGCCCTCCTGGGTTATCAGGGTGGCTTGGGAGATGACCAAGGGATAATTCCATGCAGTGTTATCGTTTTTGAAGTAGGGTATAATTCCTTCAGCCCTGGAACAGTTGATAGTATATTCCCTTCTCAAGAGGCCATTACTGAAGCCCTCCATTCAGGGCAACTACCAACAACAAAAATTTCAACAGAAAAAGAACAAGGCAAAATGGACAATTTGCACATTGTATTATTTCTGCTGATATTGGTGCCATGCCAGAGTATGCTCTCGTTGTCATCTGTTCTTATTTACTGGGGAAACTACCCATTTTTGCTATATTAAGGAAAAAGTCAGGATGTGGCAATTTGTAACATCTACCTAATGAGCTCCTCAGTTTATATAGCAATGATGAAACTATTGCGAACAAAGTCTGGAAGAACATCAGACAATACAACTGCCTTTTTAAAATGACATTCTTTGATGCCAAAGAAATCTTTACAATGTGGAATAAATAGAATCCTTCTGGGGCTTTTTAAAGGCAAATCCATAACTCAATCAGGCATTTAATGCCAGATCCCAACCAGCAAATTACATTTATCTAAATTTACTTTATGGATCCTTAAGCTTGGAATACCATAAACAAGGCCTGTCTCATTTGTACTCTGCTCTGGCCTGATAAAGCATCCAAGCCAAGACCACAGATTATGATAACATTTGTGCAAGCCAAAATACCAGACTCAAATGAAGATCTAGAGCTGCACAAATCGGTATTGAAGGCCATATTGCAGTAGAAATTCTGTTTAGAAAAATGGTGCATGCAGTAGGAGATACCCAAAGCTATTCAATGAGCATAAAAGGTATGGTGATGATTAATGTACTCTCTGCAGCCCATGGTCTTCAGAAATGGGAGAATGCGAAGGTTCTGAAGCAGGATAAAGTTGAACTGTAACTTCTCAATGCACAGCTATTGTATTTATTGTATTTATCAATACAGTCATGTTTTGCTTTCACTATACATAAAGGACAAGGACAAACTATGGAAAATGTGCTGATTTATTTGAAGAAACCAATATTCCAATATGGTCAGCTATATGTCACTTTAAACCAAGGAAAAAGAAGTGAAAATGTTACAATATTCTTTTAAAAATGGCAGATCAACCCCGGATGTTGCGATTAAAATGTTCTTTATTAAAATGAAAAACATCTATATTTGTCTTGCTACACATCTCTCTTCTTTAATAAGATGTTTTCTTTTTAAAGTTTAAAACCAAAGCCATAGAAATCTGCCCATGATCTTTCTGTTTCTGTGTTTAGGTAAGGAAATATCTCTGAAAGGATGATCCCACAGATCATAGGTTCCCTAGTTTCAATTAATAAGGCAGCAGATGCAGCTCAAATAATTGAAATTAGGCCACATTTCAATACTAGAATAACCTTGTAAAATGTTAACATTGACACTTGACATTTATGACTTGTCTGAGAAGTCTGTGTAACCTGTTGTGTTTATCATTTTCCCTTTATGGAAATGTTGTAGGTGTATTTGTCCAAATTAACATTTGCTATGAAATATTTGAATGTTAAAAAGAGAGTTGCAGCCAAGTCAGATATATCTATATATCTATATGTATGTATATCTACCTACCTACCTACCTACCTATCCATCCATCCATCCATCCATCCATCCATCCATCCATCCATCTATCTTTCTCCAGATGAGCTGTTCAGAGCATCCATTGTTTGGGATGAT